TGGGGGAGACACATATGAAGGGGGGGGGTCTCGGAGTGGCAAACTATTTTTGGAAATGTTTTGAAATGGGGGGGCGGGTACAAATGCACTTGTTCTAAATATTAAGGGGGGGGGGGGTGCCCGTAAAACTAAACGCCCCAACACACACACACACACACACACACAACCACACACTCACACTCACACACACACCCACGCACACACACACACACGGATTATGAATGTCAAGAGACTCCGTTACTGTGACAACCACTGTTAGGGATTGCATCAATGTGTGTAATCACACGAGACTGAGAAACCAGAGTGAGGTCATGTCTCACACCCGACTAACACGCACACACACACACACACACACACACACACACTAGCTGCTGCTCTCGCGGCACACATGATTAAAATCTTTATCTTTATTTAACACCTTTTAAAATGTATTGTACAGACAGAAATATAAACCAGTGTTGTCTCTTTGTCATTGTTTTGTGTCTCTTTGTGGTTGTTTTGTATCTCTTTGTGATTGTAATGTTTCTCTTTGTAGTTTTGTGTCATTTTGTAGTTGTAATTGTTACGGTCGGTTTATTCTGGACCCAAACGCAGACAACGGGACAGCAGAATATGTGAGACAAAGGGTTTTATTTGGCTTGTCTGTGGAGCCGGTGGAACATGCAGGTGGAGCAGCGAGGCGGTGTATGCGGCGGCGTGGCACGGGAATCGCTGAGGCAGAGGGAAAACACAAGTTAGTTGAAAACGTCAAAAAGGCTAACTTGCTCGAAGAGAAGATTTAAACTCAAATGGGCCGAGGTTGTAGCTACCACTGAGCTGAAGGAACAATCTGGCGATGAGACTGAAGGAAGCCGGGGTATTTGAACTGAAGGTGATGAAGGTCTAATTGTTGTCAGGTGAGGAGATGAGCCCAGGTGCCGGATGATTGCAGCCGCACACACAGACAGACAACAGAGGGGAGACAAGCTGAGGTCACAGCGGAGGGCACAGAGGACTGGAGGAAACTGGATTGAGCAGTGAGACGTGGAAGGTAGGATGGACCCTTAAAGAGGCTGGGAGTTTGAGCTGGACCGCAGAGGGGTTGATGACTTTATCCACCTCAAAGGGTCCGACAAACCGGGGTGCCAACTTTCGGGATTTTACTTGAAGCGGTAAGTCCCGCGATGATAGCCATACTTTTTGGCCTGGAAGATAGATAGGTGCAGGAGCTCTGTGACGGTCAGCGATGCGCTTGTTCCGGGTGACCGAACGCTGGAGTGCCGACTGGACCTCCCTCCATACCTTTCGGCATCTACAGAGGTTGGCCTGGACAGTTGGTACCGATATTTCCCCTTCTTGGGCCGGAAACAAGGGCGGCTGATACCCCAAGGAGGCCATGAAGGGGGGCATGCCAGTGGCGGTGCTAGTGAGTGAGTTGTGCGCATATTCGACCCACGGCAAGTGTACGGACCAGGAGGACGGGTGGCGAGCAGTGACACAACGCAGAGCTGACTCTAAATCTTGGTTGGCCCATTCCATCTGGCCGTTCGTCTGCGGATGGTAACCAGATGAGAGACTGGCGGTGGCACCCAGCGCCCGACAGAAAGCCTTCCAGACCTGTGACGAGAACTGCGGCCCTTGGTCAGACACAATATCCAGGGGAATGCCGTGGAGTCGGAAAACATGGAGAACCAAAAGGTCAGCAGTCTCCATGGCCAAAGGCAATTTGGGGAGGGGAATGAAATGGACCGCCTTGGAAAACCGGTCCACAATAGTTAAAATGGTGGTATTGCCTCCAGACAGGGGCAGGCCCATGACAAAATCCACTGCGATGGGAGACCAGGGACGGTGGGGGATAGGCAAAGTCCGCAACTGACCAGCCGGGGTTTGGTGAGACGCCTTGCTGCGAGCACAGACTGTACAGGCTGACACAAATGCACGGGTGTCTCTGGACATGGATGGCCACCAGAACCATTGGCGAATGAAGGCAAGCGTGCGGTGGAACCCAGGATGGCAGGTGAGTCTCGAGGAGTGTCCCCATTGTAGTACCTGGGATCTGACTGTGTCCGGCACAAACAAACAGTTTGGAGGACCACCACCTGGATCCGGCTGGGAGCGTTGGGCCTTCTGGACGAGAGACTCAACTCCCCATGTAACAGTGGCCAACACGCAGGAGGGGAGAAGAATGGGTTCGGGCTCGAAGGGGGGTTCTCTCCGTGGTGGACTGCCGAGACTTGATGTTGCGTGAACCAGGCCGGTAGGTGAGTGTAAAATTGAACCTTCCCAGGAACAATGCCTACTGAGCCCGTCGGGAGTTTAGTCTCTTGGCAGAGCGGAGGTAAGAGAGATTCTTATGATCTGCCCAACAATGAATGAGTGTTCAGCTCCCTCCAACCAGTGCCTCCACTCCTGGAGTGCGAGAACCACTGCCAATAGTTCGCAGTTTCCCACATCATAGTTGCGCTCTGCGGGGAACAGGTGCCGGGAAAAAAAAGTGCAGGGGTGCATCTTCTGATCCTGGGGAGACCGCTGGGAGAGGATGGCCCCGACTCCAGAATCCGAGGCATCCACCTCCACAACGAACTGCAGAGAGTGATCGGGATGAACTAATACCGGGGCCGTAGTGAACAGTTGTTTGAGGAAGGCGAAAGCAGCGTCAGCCTCTAGAGTCCATGTAAAGGGAACGGCAGTGGAGGTGAGTTACGTGAGAGGGGTAGCCACCCTGCTGTAATTGCGAATAAACCGTCTGTAAAAGTTGGCAAACCCTAAGAACCACTGCAACTGTTTCCGAGTGGTGGGAGTAGGCCACTCTGCCACTGCCTGAACCTTTGCTGCATCCGCCCTCACCTGCCCCGGCTGGATGATGAATCCAAGGAAACTCACTGTGGTGACATGGAATTCACATTTCTCCGCCTTTACAAAAAGCTTGTTCTCCAGTAGTCGCTGTAGCACTAGCCTGACATGCTTGATGTGTTCCTCCATGTTCCGGGAGAAGATGAGGATGTCATCAATGTAGACCAAAACGAAGCGGAATGGGCCGAGGTTGTAGCTACCACTGAGCTGAAGGAACAATCTGGCGATGAGACTGAAGGAAGCCAGGGTATTTGAACTGAAGGTGATGAAGGTCATCATAGGCATAGCCAATGTGGTGCTGATTAAATCTGCTGTCACAGATGTATTGAGGACTCTGCCAGGTATCATAAGTCTGTCCCCCACTCTGTGTCCAGTTCTCTTTATACATCTATGGACGTTGTCGGATCCTCAGCCAGTTGCACGCCATTTCTCTTCTTTGGCTCCATTTATAATGAAATGTCTTGTCTTAAAAAAGGACAATCTCTGGTGGTTGGTATCCTCCACTAGTTCGATTCTGTGCAAAAACAAATCTGTCCGTCTGTCACCACTAAAATCACTTTCTATGGTCCTGTCATAAAACAGAACTCTGTGAGTTTACTTCTTCTTTGTCTCAGTGGTTCTGTGACATATTGTCTGATGCTTGTTTCCATTCTGAGAGGAACGTTGGTGAATTGATTTCCTTTCCGACGTATCATCAGCTGTGTTTTGTTTGTCTTGCTTTTTGCAGATATATTTTTGCCATCATGGCGGAGAGTGCTGACATGGAGCAGCTCCTGACGTCTTTTAAGAAGTTCGCTGTCCACGGAGACACAAAGGCCACGGGGAAGGAGCTTAACGGGAAGAACTGGGCCAAACTGTGCAAAGACTGCAGGATCATCGACGGCAAGAACGTAACCGCCACCGACGTGGACATCGTCTTCTCCAAAGTCAAGTGAGTCTACAGTTTGAGTATCCTGAACAGACGGTATTCCCATTGTTGTTATTATCTGCAGCTCTTGTTTCACAGTAACTCCAGTTTGGTGATTTCTGCTGCTGTTTTTGTTGCCTCTGTGTGAAGACAGAAGACATCTCGGGTCGTCACCTACGAGGAGTTCCAGAGGGCTCTGGAGGAGTTGGCCCCGAAGAGGTTCAAAGGTCAAAGTAAAGAGGAGGCGCTGGAGTCCATCTATAAACTGGTGAAAGGCCGAGAGCCCACCAACGTGGGAGTGACGGTGAGATGAGAAGCTTTTATCTGAAAAATGTAGCTTCTTGTGATTGTGGACCTTTTTTGTTGTTGAAATGTACAAAACTCTGATGTTTTGACATTGTTTTGTGTCTCTTTGTGGTTGTTTTGTGTCTCTGATGTTTTGACATGAACACGACATGAAACAAGAACTTTTTCAAAATGATAAAGTCCACTGAAATCGAACTAGGGGCCTCCCAGACTCTGATTATTGGACACCTGTCTCACTGAACATGTCTCACACACAGGAGTATACGTATGAAGGTAGTAATCTGAGAATCTGCGTCCTGATGCTGCCGGAGCTCAGGTGTCCATAGAAACCAGTGGGTGCAGCTGTTTTGATGGGTGTCACACATGGATATAAATTACAGTATCATCTGCATACAAGTGAACTTCACACCGTGTTCAGGCCGATGGTGAATCATTCATAAGATGAACAGCAGAGGTTCCAGGACGGCTCTGTTGGTAAGAAAGTAATCAAACAGCTGGATGGTTTTAAATAGATAAGATAAGACAAAACAAAAACAGCAGCAAAGTATCTTAATCGTTGACTCTTAATCTATTATAAACAGCTGCAATTTATTGATATTACTTCATGCGTCCGGGTCGTGTGTGTGTCTGTCTGTCTGTCTGTCCACGGCTAATCTTTCATTCTACTGGACCCGTTGGCCTGATGTTTTCTGTGCTCATTCATCGCTGTTAGTTCAAGGACCTCTCACGGTTGCGGAGATTCAAACTTTTTGAAAACAGATTTTATTGACTGCTAACTCCTCACTTCTCCTAAAGGGCCAGTAGGGGCCGCAAGTGATCAACAACTGCTTCACTAGCTAAAAGGCTTTTCTGTCAATCTGCTTTGGCTTAAAACAAACCTTACTAGTCTGTTACAGGACACAACTGACATCCACAGAAAAAAGTTGTAGAAATCACATTTATTTTGCCGTCATCTAGACTTTGAGTTTACTTTTCTAGTTTGATTTGCAACAATTTATAACAAAAAGTAAAACATTGCAACTATTAATAATGTATAGTTTTTTTTATTTCCACCCTTCTCTGAATCAGTCTGGACCCCTGAGGGTTGAGGGGGAGGAGCCTGAGGCATTAAACACCTGTGTGTCATCTGCATAGAAACGGACGTAGACGTACTGACGCTGTTTAAAATGTGTGTGTTGCCCTTTAAAACTCTAGTAAGACAGCTGAGCTGTCTGTCTCTAAGAGCGTCCTCCAGACATGATCAGACAGGATGAAGGAGGTTCATCGCCCCCCCGGGCTTCTTCTTCTTCTTCTTCAGGTCTCACGTCTCACTCTCCTCTAAATGTTTGGACCCTCATCAGACGGGTTTCTTATTATAATGAAGTCATCAGAGTCTGAGGCCAGGAGCTGGTTTGGTTCATCTTGGGGTCTTTAGACACTGAGACAGAGGAGACCCAGCAAACAGTCTTTTAAAGTGTTAGTTCAAGCTTTGTAAAGATGCGTGAAGAGGAAAACTTTTTCATGTGTAATCAATCCAAACTCCATTCAGAAAACAAGTATTTTAAAAGTTATTTACTTGTCGTTTTTTGGAGAGAGCTAGCAAAACATGAATTTAGACATTTTACAAATCATCATCATTATGTAGTTATTTCAGCATCCCTTTTATCTGTTTATTGTAATTAAATCACAGCAAAATCTGTTAATTTTGGGTTCATGCAGCTGCAGTAGACCAGCCGATGTGTGTCTTGATAGACACAGTGAATACAGCTCCAGATGATGTTATGAAGCAGACAAGACGTTTAGTTTCTCAGGATATCTGGGATTTCTACAACATTATTTCTTTCATGGGTTGATAGCGGAAATAAATGGCTTAAGTTGATAACGGCTTCCATGGAGATAAGCCACGCCCCCTCTCCGGCGCACCTGTAAACGCAGCTTTAGTCTCATTTCTTTTCTCTGTGTTTCCATCAGAAAGTGGCGAAGGCGAAGGCGGTGGATCGGCTGACCGATGCGTCCCGCTACACCGGGTCTCACAAGGAGCGTTTCGACGAGAGCGGCAAGGGGAAAGGTCGCGAGGGCCGCGAGGAGATTGTGGAGAAGACGGGCTACGTGGGAGCGTACAAGAACGCCGGGACGTACGACGACAAGATGAAGGCCGAGAAATAACAGGAAGTACCTGTTCCTTCAGTCTGGGACCAGACCTTGAACTTTGACCCCCCCCCCCCTCTATGTGTGTGCATGTGTCTGTGTGTGTGTGTGTGTGTGTTTGAACTGGACGCAGCTTCGTGTTCAGACTGATGAACTCTATAAACCCATCGGACAGTCTGGTGGATCACATCCAGGACTGTGCTGCACCAGGTCTTCATGAGTCCCTTTAGCTCCGTTCAGACTGGATTCTGTCTGTTAGCGGTTTCAGCTCATTGCTAACATGCTAACAGCGACCTATTTGTCAACAGTCTTTTTTTTTTTAGTTCACATGAAGTCAGAGTGTCTCCATCAACTATCAGCTGATTACTGTGATTCTGAATACAACTTAAAGGGCCAGCATGCAGAATGTGGCGCCATCTAGTGTTGAAGTTTCAAATTACAACCAACTAAAAAACTTCTTATTTTTTAGGTGATTATAGACCAAAGAAAGTTATTAATATTATAATTACATATAAATGTTACACACTGTTCCTTTAAAGACATGACGCTTCTTTTGTCTTTGTGAATGTTTGTGTCCACGTCTATTACAGACCATAATATCCTGTCATGTCACCATGGTTACAGCCAATGATGAGCTATGTGTTGTCATAGCAACCAGACGTCCTCTCAGCTCACTGGTTGAAAAGTTTTGGGACATTTTTGGGGATTTCCTTTTATTTCTTCATCCTGCATATTGTTGCTTTGTTTAGTTGTTTTAACATTCTGCAGTTTTCTTCTTGTTCTTCTTCTGCATTATAACGATATTTTAATCTTTGATGTCTGGATTTGATTCAGGAGCAGAAACTGGACTGTAGCTTCAGTGAAAGTTACTTAAATAATAAAAGGTTAAAGAAATGTTTTCTTTTCTCTCTGTTTTTACTGCTGGAACGTCTTTTAGAAACTCGTGGATGTTTTAGAATGCTTGGTTTTCCAAACAAGGTAAAGTTGGTGAAATGTTTTTTATGGCTTCTTCTACTTCTGAGAGTTCAGTAAATGTTGGTGGTGATTAACGACGGGATGATGCGTGTAATTCAGTCACATGACGCTCAGAAACAAAACATTATGACCTCATCAACTTTTTCAACTTCTTATCTATTTATTTTGTTCTATTGTTTTATTCTATTGTTTTATAAAATAATGCAGCTACAGAAATCATTTAAAAAAGAACAAACAAGAACAACAGAACATGCAGAAAAAGAACTAAAGTGAAGGAAAGAAAGAATTATTCTAGAAAACCTAGAACAAATAAAAGGTGAATATTTAATGAGATTCATCTTTTGTTTTCTCCATTATTAACATTCATTAAAAGACAGAAAACAAGTCTTTAATTTCGACAATGCAATGATCCAAAGAATACAAAGGACATTGCTCATTTTATTTTTTGCACTTAAACTATTCATCGTTCATTAAGAATCAACAGAAACTGAGTTTAGGTCACTTTGACATCTTTAATAATTTTTTAGATTTTTCAATTAATTCTTCATTCATTTTTGTATTACTTTACTTTTGACTTTTTATGTTGACAGAGGAGTGTGTGTGTGTGTGTGTGTGTGTGTGTGTGTGTGTGTTTGTGCATGTGTGTGGGGACAAATACCTTTTTACACATTACATTGTGGGGGGAAAAAGCAGGTCCCCACAAGGTTGAAAATCGATAAAATGTCCCCCTAAGTCATAGAAACGTGTGTGTGTGTGTGTGTGTGTGTGTGTGTGTGTGTGTGTGTGTGTGTGAGTGTGTGCTCTGCACCAGAAACAGGAAGCAGATGCAGCTCCTTGTTGTCATGGCAGCTACAGAGTAAACAACAGTTGCCCAGTTGAGCGGCAGGTCTCAGGTCCGTCTGGATACTGGTCTAATCAGATCCAGATCTGGGAAACATTTTATATTAGTTGTCTTCATAATCTCTGTTATCTATATTACGTTATTAATCTCACTGTCAGACCACATGGATCAATCGATCAATATCCATGTTGTGTGAAGGTATGAACACAATGACATGACATCATTATTTTAATGGTTAGCTTGTTTTTTATCATCTAAATATAAATATATAAACCTGAACCATGAAATCTGACATATTTGGATTCAGTGTTGAAGAGATTCATATGTTCCATTTTTTAAATTTGTTTTTAATTTATTCACATAAATTATTCGTGTTTGGTCTGAAAATACCTCATCAAACAAATATTTGCCGGATATTTTACCGATATTTGTCAGATTAATTAATTAATTAATTACTTAAGATTAATTACTTTTGGATTTGTTTCAGATTTTAAGATGATATTTTTCACATTTCTGTGCTAAGATTTGTTGGATGTGTTTTAAAGTATTATTTTACTGGTACTTTCCTGATATTTTCCATGTTAAAACATGTTATATTTGTCGGATATTTTACTGGCCTTTGATTAGAGGGACCTTCATATGTGAGTCAAACACATGATGTGAGAAAAAAGGACACAAGTGAAGGGAACAAGGAGACAGTTCAGAAAAGTGATGATTCAGTCTTTTATTTTCAGAAGAAATGACTCAGGTAGAATTTATTCCCTTTAATCCTCTCAGAGTTTTTGTCTTAAATCTTTATAGAACATACTCTGATGAAACATTGTGAGCTCTTTACATTTTATCCATGAAAAGAAAATTGATTAAATTTACTTGTATTAATGCTGAATATTACAAAACGTGGAAAATGAGATGACAAGAAAAAACACAAATAATATAATCAAATAACATTATCAGGTTAAACATTCAGTGTCTTGATAAAAATAAAAAGGTATTTTATCTTTCATGAACAGCTGGGATGAGTTTCAGACTACATTCAGTTTTTATTTCTACTAAATATGATTCTATTGTTGCATCTTTGCTTTACATATTTTACAAGAAAGAAAAAGAGTTCTTATCAAAAACTGAACAATATATAATTCATCTTTTAACATTGTTGGTAAAATTACGACAAGCGATCAGGATATTCATGTTCTCTCACAAGATATTTTACAACAAGCAGTAAATATATTGACACGTAAAAAATTTGGTGCATGAGGTCGACAGATTCAGACAAATTTAAAGTGTCTTTGTGGTCGTTTGGAGCCCCTGAGGTCATTTTGCTCATTTTATTGAGTCTGTTCGTTGTTATTTGGAATCTATTTGTGGTGGTTTTGCCCCATGTGAGTTTACAGTTCAGCGTCACCTCAGTCCTTTAGGATCAGCTGTTAGAGTCTCTGGACCTGGTTCTGAGCCGTGACACTCCTCCTGCCGCCCCCCCGCTGAAAGCTGACACCAGGTCTCTGACGCTGCCGGCCGAGTGAGGGGTCTCCTCGCTCTTCTTCTTCTTCGTTCTCATCCTCCTCGGGTTGGCGTTCAGACTCTTGGAGCGCAGTGTCAGGTACATCCTGTCCTCCCCCACCAGCAGCTCCTCCTCTTCCTCCTCTGGCTCCTCCTCCCCTCCTCTGTTGCCATGGGTATGGTCCACCGTCTCACCCCCCTGTTCCGGCGTGGTCGACCTTTCCTCCGTTTCCGGATTGGTTTCGTCACCTTTGTTCTTCTCCACCGTCACTCTGAGGGAGGAATGGACTCCCAGGTGAGGCATGCTGGGAGATCCGGAGGCCCGCCGTGAGCCCGGGGGGGTCAAACCGGTCGGCCCCTCCTGGTCCTGATGGGCGGGGCTGTAGACGATGCTGCTGCAGCTGGACTTCCTGTTGGAGGGGGAGGATACGTACTGTGTGACTTTTGACCTTTCCAGAGGAAAGGACACCGCCGCCTCCAGCCGGGTTTTCTCCACCGGTTTCTCCACATTGGCGTCCGTCACATCGGACTGAGGCGAAGCCGTTGCCCCCGGTGTAGGGGGGTGTCGGCCGTCGGGGTCGCAGGGAAAGATCAGGATGTCGACATTGGACAGAGACCGAGTCCTCGACTTCAGTCCTCTCACCTCCAGAGTCGACCAGAACTCCTTCACATCACCTGAAAACAGGAAGAAAAACAGTTCACATCAACACCAGAAAGTCAGCTTCAGTCCTGCAGGTGTCTCAGTTCGTCTACATCACATCTTAGTCTTTTTTAACAACCAGTGAACAGGAATATCTGGACTGAGGAGGAGTGACGTAGAGACGCCGTATACATCTCCGGTAGAGACCTGTCAATCACCGTGTAGCTCCAGAGACTCGTGAAGGTTTTTATGGTTCTTTATTGAGCAGCCAA